AAAGAACATAAATACAAAACAGAAACAGACTTATAGACATAGAATACAAACTTGTGGTTGTCAAGGGGGAGGGGGGTGGGAAGGGATAGATTGGGATTTCAAAATTTGTAAATACTGAAAGGCATATGTAGAATAGATAAACAAGATTATACTGTATAGCACAGGGAAATATATGCAAGATCTTGTGGTAGCTCATAGTGAAAAGAAAATGTGACAATGAATATATGTATGTTCATGTATAACTGAAAAATTGTGCTCTACAATGGAATTTGACACAACATTGTAAAATGACTATAACTCAATAAAAAAGTTATAAAAAATTCTTATATGAATAAAAGACCTTATTTCTTTTCTTACTAAATGTGTCACTTTTTTTTTTGTTTCTACTGGCAGGAAAGAGTAAGATGACTTGGTGGTCCCCAGGCTTATTTGCTTTCTCAAGTTTTCTAGAGATGAGAAAATCTTTAAACCCTATCCCATCTTAACTAGATCTCAATCTTAGGCAATGTCCAAGCGTTTTAGGGGGTTAGACCTTACAAATGACTGTAAGAGAGCAATCTACATTCTGTCACTCCTGGCTGATGAAGAAACTGTGTGACTGTCTGCATCAGACCCAGGATCTGGCCTCTGGTGTGGGAAGATTATTGACAGAGAAGTGAAAACTGCTCTTTCTTTCAACCAGTAATCACCCGCCCAGTTGACAAAACCACCCCTCCATCAGACACTTCGTGGTCATCTCTTTGAGAGCTCCTGAAAAACTGGGGCTTCAGCTTGCTCATTCCTGTACCCCCAGAGAGTCTAGCATAACAGGTACAAGGTAGGTACTCAAAAATATGTGGGGGTCAAAGACCTCATTCTTGAACTCTTGGCTTTCGGCTGTCAGAGAGGGCAAAACTATTCCTACGCTTTCTACTGCAATTGCCAAGGTAAACCACACAACCTCGCAAGCCTTCCTCAAGGTTAACCTGTATTTCTACAGCTACCATTTAAGCTTAATTCCCTCTTGCTGGCCTCTTGAATGCAATGAAGACCAGCCCTGCCCGCAAAGTCCCTAAGACAAAGAAGGAACTTTACACTTGAAGACACAAGACTCATTCATTTATTAGGTGCCTTCTATAAGTTGAGGAGCGAAATTTCTGGCAAATAAATAAATAAATAAATAGTCAGACAAAGGCGGGCTTTCAGGGAGAGGGAGCTCGGGAAGAGGGAGCGGAGTCTTTGCATAGTTCTAAACGAACAGAAGGTGGCGGCAGTAGGCAACGTGGATTCGCGGCAGAAACGCAGCACTTGCAACAACCAGGGACAGGAGGCTTTGGGACGAGGAGAAGGCCGGAAGGTGACTAGCTATTTCTTGATCACGGAGACCGCGGTGTGGAACGTCCGTCCTCTCTACGTGGGGCGGGGCGCGGCGCCTCACATGATCTGCCTGGGCGTCCCATACCCGGTCATGCCTGCCTGGGAGGCCCCCTTGTTGCTGCCCATCTGCAGGCCTATCACGCTCTGTCCCTGGCGAAGCTGCTCCTCTGAAAATCCTCTCCGGTTCTGCTGGGCTTTCCTGGGCAGAGGGAGTGAGATGGAACAGTGTCATTCTGACCATTTCCAAACCTTTGCCTAGATGAGCAGTTAGGCAGGCTCTACAGGAGGTCAAGGGTCACCAAGCAGAAGGGCAGGCCTTATACTGAACGACAGTCTTTCTATGAACTATGCTCTTGCCCTGGGCGACGGTCCCACCACGAACAGGCCCTACCTCTCTGCTCCTTAGAAGCTCGGATGATTTTCCAGAATTTCTACAGCAAAGAAACCAGTGATGCCTCTCTGGGGACTTTACTCTCAGACAGCTTTCCTGTCCCCCCCCCCCACAGTTACCTCAAGCCCTTGTGAAAATTGAAGTCAGCTCTTCTTACAAAGTCATTAATCCTGTTCCACCCCTCCCTGTATGGGACCAAGGTCACTGCTCCCCTTTAGAGCTGAGGGGTGTGGGAGCGAAGCAGGGGAAATGTCTCACTCTAGTCCAGAGGGCTGCAAACTTCGGTGAAGAGTCAGATGGTGAATAATTTGGGGCCACATAGGCCTCAGTAGGTCACTAACAAAGTGGGAGCTAAAAGCAGGGCTTCAACTGGCCAATACGTAGGAGTTTCAGATCAGGTTCATTTAAAACGCCAAAAGCTGGTACCTTTTTATAGTTGTCAAGAAGCAGAGGGGGTTAGGGGCATGAAGAGTTAATTACCTGCTACAACGTGTTCACCTCCCACTGAGCTACTGGGTTGAGTTTAAGCTCTCTTTCTGCACCACGGGTCTTTCCTTGCTCCGGGGGACTCGGCTGTGGGGCTGGGAGTGCTTGCTCCTAGGGTCTTTGCGTCCAAGCACCTCTGGGCCGTGACAAGGCTTCTGATGCTCCCTCTCGCTAACATTACCGTCTGTTCCTGGGGGGCTGGGAGGGAGTTTTTACCTGTGAAACCAGGATGGCTCTCCCCGGTAGCAGCCGTCATCCTTGGTGACTGCGACACTGCCTAGAGCCATCAGGGTCCTCTGCACGGCCGCCATGTCCTTCCCTGGAAGCCAAAGGAGTGATTAAAACCTAGTATGAGTCAGGGCCAAGGAATCCAGGATGCAACTGGCCCTCTGGGAAGGAAGTTCCGACAGGAGGCTGTAGGTGAGCACATTCAAGGAAGAGGGATGTTTGAGGGTGCCCCTCAAAGTGGCCTGAAGACCACATAGCCAAACTTCTCAGAAAGGAATCTGGCTAATGATTGTCTAGATGGCACATACCAAAGATCCCGTTTCTAATCCACTCGTAGTTGCTGCATGAATAACACATTCCAAGCACTTAGCAGCTCAGATAGAGGTCCCTGCCCTGCTGAGAGGCCCTGCCTCAGGGGGTCCCACAGGCGGCTGTAAGGTGAGGTCCTGTGTGTGGGCTGGCGTGGGGGTCCGCACAAGAGGGTTCTCCTCAGGACTGGGAAGAGAAAAGGAAACCGGGAAGAAATATACTGGATGGATGAACTGCACCAAACCCCAGGTGGCTTCTTTCTTTCCCTTTATCTGGGTTAAAAGGGTCTGAACTCATCCATGTGCATCAGATTGAGTATTCACTTGGCCCTTTGGGCTGGAAGCCTGGCAGACGAAGAAAAGCAAATCAGCACAGAAAGCACTCCGACAGGACACGGTGAGAGGCCCTTCATTCTCTGCTGCTTGAAAGGAGTTGAATGGAGACAATAAATAAATGGAGTGTGTGTGTGTTGGGGGGGAGAGTGTGTGGTGTGCCCGGCACACAGTGGGAGGGGGCGCACCATCACCTGTGGAGCCCAAGGACCCTTAACCCACAGAGAAGGCCACTGGGCTACAAGGCAGCCTGCTCCTCCCATCCTTTCTCCTCGCCCCACCCCTTCCTGCTGACTGATGAGTCCTGCACAGGGAAAGGGAAAGATGCTACCGTGTGGTTAGCCCTGCAGGTCAGAACCAGCCTGAAGGTCCACACACAGCACGAGGGTGCAGTACAAAAGCTGAAGGCCCAGGGTGGGGGAGGGGGCTGTGAAAGTTAAGGGCAAACATTAAATGGCCCTCTTCAGACCGAGTAAACCATCTGTGGTCTCTTGGGCCAGGCTGCGGCAGCCTGGTCACCAGGGAATACAGAATTACTGGGGACAGGCAGACAGAAAGGGAGAATGGAACATAACTCTGACAAAATAAACAATTAGGCCCACAGAGGAAGTCCAGTCCAGGATGCCCGTTTGTTCAAAGAGGAGAGAGAGACAGCAGATCCCTCTCTCCTGGTCCCTCTCCTCCACCCCCCACCTCCCACATGAACCGAGGGACGATTTCCTGGATCCTGAGGCCCTGCGGGGTTGATGAATGGATACAGGGATGAAAGGGTCTCAAGGGAGAACCCCGCAGACTCAAGGAACAGCTGGGGTAGTGGAGAACGGAGGATCTGGGCAGCAGATGGAAGGGGGAGGTCACAAAGAATACTGGGAAGTAAGGGAGGGGAAGCGCAGAGGAGGTTATGAGAATGATCCTTCTCTTCCGCAGAGGAAAAGCATTTCTGTAACTGTCACTCTATAACAGCATCCTTTTTTTTTTTTTGATAGAACCATCGTGATGATATTCTGAAGGATCACTGACGGAGGACTTAAGGAAAGGTTTTGCTCTCAAGCAGTGAGTCCTTAAAGAGCACCTAGAGAGACGATGGAGCACACGGAGGCTTGGGAAGGTCAGGGTACACCAGTCGTCTCCACTGTGCATGTATAGCAGACCAGAAGTCTGGTTCTGGTGACTGAAAAGAGCAAGTCTGGCATGTCCAGGATCTGGGGACTGTAGAGCCTGACACTGGCAGCCAGCCACAGACACCACGCTGGAGCCATGGGTGACGAAACAAGCCCTGTTAAACCACAGACCCAGCGCCCGTCACCAGTAGCTCGCTAAGGTGTACACTACATGAGCCCAGAAAGGACGGAGGGAACTACGTTAGGGGCAAGGGTAAGGTATCTGGGAACCTCGGACTGTAACTTCCACCCACCCTCATCCCTGGAAAGTGCAAAAGGAAGCAATTATACGATTGGGGCAGAAGAAGCTGGGGAAGGAACAAATTGGAAATGCTTTTTTATTTTATTTTTTGTGTGTAGGGGGAGGTAATTAGGTTTGTTCATTTGTTCATTTTATTTTTTAATGGCGGTACTGGGAATTGAACCCAGGACCTTGTGCATGCTAAGCATGTGCTCTACCACTGGGCTATATCCTCCCCCTGGAAACACTTTTTAAAAAGAAAGCCCTCAGGACTAAAGATTTGATATAAATGGTAGGCTAGACACTTTGCTATATGTGACATCAACCCCATGGACTTGTTATTATTCCTCCCAATGTGTGGATGGGAAAACTAACTCAGGGAAGCTAATTAATGTGCCAGAGCCACCCAGCAAGTAAATTAGGGCTCAGCTCCAGCTCAGGTTGGTCTGAACGCAAAGCCCACGGCAGTCTGCAGGGTGCACTGCCATCTCCCGTGGGTCCCCGGTGGAGGCTGTTTGGGAGGCATGTTCCTCGGTGATCAGGGATGACCTGAGGGGTGGCAGTGGCTGCTTCAATGCCAGGTGGAGGGATGAAACTGGGGCATAGTTCTTGGGTCCCACAAGATCTAGGGCACCAACCCCAAATGATGGTAATGATGATGGTTTAGCATAATTTCTCAAGGTCTCAACGTGAATAAAATTAAAGCAAGAAAAAGCAGCTGGGGTCCAGAGTCCCCCATCAGTGTACAGATCAAGTTAAAATAATTATTGTTAAGATTCTGCATAGCACTGTGAACAGAAATCTACCTCCTGTAATCAGTTCATTTCTAGTTAGTTATCTAGTAGACCTCCCTTGGAAAGAATCCCAGTATTCTGGCCTAACAAAATGTACCATCTGCCTAGAACACAGCCTGCTTCAGAGCATGGTTTCCCAAACTCCTTCAACTATTTGTGAGATGGGATGGGGAGGTCTCTAAAAATACAAAATTTGAGGTCATTTCCAGGAGAGACGAGTTCAGTAAGCCTGGGGGGTGGGGGTGAGGGGTTGGAGTTTATATTTTTAATAATCTCCCTGGGTGATATGCCATCATGGAAGTCTAAGAAATATGAGTTTCTTCTGGTGACTCCCAACTAGACTAGTCATCAGAATTACCCAAGGATCTTGAAAATTCAGATTCTGGGATGATCTGCAATGATGCGGATACAGCCAGACAGATAGGCAAGCACTGCCCCAGCACCTTGGTTTTGAATTTTTAAAACTGTCCCAAGGTCTGGCATGTGGTAAGTACTAGATGAAAGTTGTTAAGCAATAACTCCTCCCTTCAGAGATATCTTCCACAAAGTCAGATCATAGCCGCAGCCACTGAAATGGCTGTGATCCAAGCCGGGAGCCTGCTCCGAGCCCTGGAAGCTTGGCATCCCTTTGCTTCTTGAAAGCAACCCCTAGATACTTTGGCAAGACAGCCTGAAAACCACTGCTTAAGGCCATTCTGCCAAGGAAAAAAAAAGAAGAACAGTTCTAAAAGAACCACCAACTAGGTGCTGGGAATTTTCTAGATGCTGGGAGAGCAGAAATGAAACTGAGTCTGGGTGGTGATCTATGAATAAGACCGCTGGCCATAGCAAGGAAGTGAGACAAGAAAGAGAGGGGCCACATTTACACTAACGGCTCAGGAGTTTAATCAGGCTCCTGGACTCCTCTAGCCCCCAGCATAGGGGAGGCTAATATTAGTCTTGAAGTTGTAAAAAGAGATGGTGGCAGAGTAGCTTTTCCTGTCTCACCTGACAAACCTCTTCAGAGTCTCAAGAGGAACCGACACCTTTACTAGAAGCTACTGTGTCCTCTGTTTACTGCATTATCACAAGGTAGTGTCTTCCCAGATGTGATCTTACACCCCAGCTACCAAACGCCATCTCTGGGAAGAGGGACCAAGGGCTCTGCATTGTAAGGACCACCCCCAACTCCCATCCTAATCCAGGGTTTCTTATGCTCATAAATTTGAGTCTTATTACCCTAAAAATACTTGAACAAACATTTTGATCTCTTCAGACTATGGTTACTGAAGGGCAAAGGGTGGGATGGACAAACTAGAGGTTGGTGATTAACCGATACACATTACTATATATAAAATAGATAAACAACAAGGACCTACTGTATAGCAGAGTGAACTGCATTCAATACCTTGTAATAAACTATAATGGAAAAGAATCTGAAAAAGAATATATATGTATATGTATTACTGACTTACTTGGCTGTACACCTGAAACAAATATTGTAAACCAGCTACATGTCAATAAAAAATTCTTTTTAAATTTTATTCTCTTAATTTTTTTATTACTTTCATGCTATCTTATGCATATCTTTGGGAAGGAAAAATAAAAAGAAGTGTAAAGAGAAAGGAAAAAGGCCAGAGAAGTCATCTGGGTATGTAAATCCAGGTTGGACATTCTAATACTAAAGATCAGTCTTACACTCAAAACTCTGCTTCAGAGCTACTTCTGTTTTGTTAGTCTTGACTCATCCTTGGAATATTGGGGGGGTTGTTTTTTTTTTATCTTTCTGGGACTTATATAGAGAAAGTGGTCAGTGGATGAAGACACCATTTTTTATTTCCCTGAGTAATAACTTAGGCATGGCTCCCAATTCTCCACTGAAGATAGAAAAACTATTGCTACAGATAGGGAGAAACGTCAGAGGGCAGGTTGGGCTTGCCCTGTGGACTTTATGAATTTTTGTTGCTTGCCTCCCTGGAGAAACTCCGGAGGGCAGTGGCTCTTGAAGCAGGGTTCCCGGGCCAGCAGGAGAACCCCGGAATTGGTAAGAAATGTAAATTCCTAGGCCCCAGCCTAAATTTAATACTTCTGAAACTCTGGAGCTGGGGTCCAGCAATCGGAGTTGTAACAAGCCTACCAGATGATTCTGGTGCTCACTGGAGCCAGAGAACCAGCGCTGAAGGAAGAACCCGCCAAACATAAGTGTGAGCAGCACTTGGAGTAAATGCAGTAAAAGCTGCTCTGATAGAAAAGGAGGCTTCCAGCAACAGGTGTTT